TCCTTTAATCCTATGAGGTTCGAACAGGGGTATGCATGTATGATCTTTACATAGTGTAAAACAAAGTCGCTTCCCGCAGTCAATAGGTACGCTTAAGTTAAACTAAGTACGTAACGGATTTTGATGTGGTTTTCATCAATAGACAGAATGAGTCAATAGGAAAGTTTATAAGTATAATACATGTATATTATATTATATAATTCTTCTGTCCGTGTGTATGTGGACTGAACTCCTCCTAAACTCGTGAAAAAATTCAAACGTCAAATTAAAACGTCAAACTCAAGCTATGATTAGAGATAGAGAATGGTTTAGATTCACAATTGGATTTGGTAGGTGGTCGGTAGGATTCGGTCGTTGTCGAGATCCACAAATCAGCCGTGCGAGGCCGGGGCGGATCGCTAGTATCGATATAATGTAAAACGTTACTTTTTATGTAAATTACATATTTCCGTGGTTGTTAGCTTCTATTGACGGAAAACGACTATTAAACAACAATCTGAACCAGCACGCAATTTCATGCATTTGCGATCACATATTCGGGCATATTATATGAACTACGCATAAAAATAAATTTCTGTTGGGGAGGAGGCCTATGCCCAGCAGAAAGATGTGTATAGAAAGTCTATATCATTTGCTTTTTTAACATTTATGTAATAAAAGCATTTTAAATAAATACTTAATTCAGGTTTATAACTAAAAAAAAAAAACATTAAATAAATACAGATTAAGTGGATATAGATTCAACTTAAAACATAAGTAGGTACCTACATGTAAAAATGGCACTGGCGGAAAGTGTGCATTCTTCAAAAAGATTCCTTAAAGTAGTTACTTAGAGTAGGTAATTACATCAGTAAGCTTGCTTACGTAGGTAATTCCCTAATTGGCCGTACGGTTGGTACTATTATTTATTCTATGGTACAGTCGGGTTATTCCATTTATCCACCCTAAGAAATCCACCCTATGGGTGGATAGTCGGAAACCCGGGACATGATAGAAACTAGCCTAAGATTACTTAGTAGATATTAGCATACTTATAAAAATAAATACATACTTCTTGTTTAAAGTAAACTGAAGTACTTTTAATTGCTCAATTAAATATCATTCGATGTGACATAATATATGTAATTGAAAAAACATGGCTTAAGGACAATAATGATAAATTATGTAGCTGTTTGGAATTCATTCGGACTGTCTCACAGAACTACAAATTCTTGACATAAAACAATATCAAATGAAATTAAAGACAAACATCCAAATTTAGTAAAGTTTTTGGGTTGCTTCCAAAAAACGCCCAGTGTTTGTACATAAAAGAGATGAATTTATACACGATACTTATACAATTACGTTACGTCTACTCAATAATGAAATTAGTGTTGGTAATTTCCTGGACATATTGCAGAATTTATAAATTACTTAATTTGGTTTAAATGCAATAATACGTAATATGATTTTTGTTTAAGTTTGTGGTTATTAAAAATTTATCAATAATATGATAAAGTATGAATATATTTTCTGATGAACTGTACTTGGGCTGGAAAGTGGGAACAACGATCAAAAAGTGAATTCCGAGTATCCATCCTCGGGTGGATTTCTTAGCGTTTTATATTTATATATTGATAAACGGAATAACCCGTACGGTCAATGGAGATTAATGAGTAACGATTTAATGAGTTGCTAACACGCCACAAAGCAAGAAGACAGCTGATATTAAGATTCACGACAACCACCCCGAACATCTGTATGTCGTTTTTTTATTTATATATAGTAGCACCTATAAACATTTAAAGAATAATCATCCAGCCTAAGCATGAAAAATCTATTACAAATAAATAACATTGAAGTGTCTGTTTGTAATGTCAAAATTACAAATTTTTACTAAATGCATATGAAATTAAATACGGTACTTATAACTAAAATACGATTTTTAAAATTTTTGTTTGTCTGTCTGTCTGTTTGTTCCGGCTAATCTCCGAAACGGCTGGACCGATTTTGACGGAACTTTCACTGGCAGATATCTGATTTCATAAGGAGTAACTTAGGCTACTTTTATTTTAGAAAAAGATTTAGGGTTCCGCGCAAAAACATAAAAACCCTAACACGCGAGCGAAGTCGCGGGGAACAGCTAGCAGGGAATAAAGATTTTAAATGTAACTGTTTAGACGACTTTCGAATTTGTGATATTCCTTAGTCCACTTACAGTCCACAAAAAATCATAATTTTATATAAAATAAAAGCCAACTTCAAAGAACTAAAAATAATAATACTGTTTTACATAATAGCTTTAGAAGTCGGTGCTAAGACATAGGGAGAGTATAAATCCCGGCACGTAAGTCTAGCGCTGAACGAAACGTGGAGGGGTCGCGCACGAATTGGATTGCACGAATGCGACTGGAGAGCCAATCAGCGCGTGCGAACGATACGCACGTGCTAATCATCGCAACTTATGCGCTATAAGCGAATCAGCGCGACTTATGCGCAATAACGGTCACCACTAGACTTTCGTGCCGCTACGAGTATACAAAAGTATTAATAAAGCCCCGTCTTCAGAAGCTAGGTATTATTTAAACAGTTTTATTATTTTTAGTTATTTGAAGTCCTCTTTTACTTTTTATTAAAAATCTAATTTTATCATTTAAAACTACTTCTGTGTTATAGGCAGAATCAAAATCAGATTCAAAGGTGAACAGATTTTAAATTGCTATACTTAAGCTTATCATTTAACTTCTATCCGATTGCAGGCGGAATGCCTATTTTTGATGTCGTATTTCGACAATTTAAATTTAATATTCGAATTATGCATTGCATAAAATTCTTTGTTTCCACAATTAATACATTTTTTGAATACCACCAAATTTCTACAAAAAATATTTCATCAGGTGCAAGAAAATAAAATTACATCCTTAGCTGATTTATAGATTAGGTAGGTAAAGAACCTTAGTGCATATTTCGATATTATATTTCCTAGTTCATCGGTTTACCTTTTTTCATATGGAAGTCGTGATCTATTTCGTTACACATACTGTGCGTTAGGTAATTATCTTCATATATCATGTGACATGACGCCATTAAAAAGAGCCCCTATACACGAACGACATGCGATACACGATATGTACCGTTATGGGAAAGTGTATACAGTAAATCGATAAAGTAATACCAGTCATTAGATGTTGATTTATTACCAAGGTATCTATTACCTGATTACAAAAGATCGGGAAAGCCATTTAAATGAAGAACACAATAATAGGCACCATATAATATGCGAGTCGTAAAAACTTTGTTATTTGAAATTGATGAATTGTTTCGATTACAATTGTTTCGATGTTTTAAATACTATATTATATGTTATAGGTACTAGCTGTTCCCCGCGACTTCGCCCGCGTATAATTTAGGTTTTTATTTTTTTGCGCGGAACCCTAATTCTTTTTCGTAAATAAGTTACTCCTTATAACATCACCATCTGCCAGTGAAAGGCCCATCAAAATCGGTCCAGCCGTTTCGGAGATCAGCCGGAACAAACAGACAGACAGAGAGTCAAAAATTTTAAAAATTGTGTTTTTGTTATAAGTACCGTATATACTTTAATATGCATTTAGTGGAAAACTGTTATTTTGACATTACAAACAGACACTCCAATTTTATTTATTTGTATTTGTATAGATGATTACTGAGTTATTCTTAATTTATGATGTTAAAGCAGAGATGAAGACAATTTACGCATTGTATATAGATAGATACCTACCTAGTTATACAGTCTGGAAGCAGCCGTAATATCATAACATCCTGTTGATTCCAAATTGTCCTGACTTTAGTGGTCATAATTTTACAACAACATGTTTATCACCGAATTGTGCCGATCAAGCTTTTGATGTTAGATTACTCAAAACATGCTATGAAGTGTAACGCTACACAAGACGCTGACTCCACCGTATAGGTAAATGTTATTGCTGGTCATACCAAGTTGTCATACTTTCAGTCAGCAAACTTGTTTTGATCATCTTATAAAAGCCGTTGCATTTGGTATTATATTCATTATAGTTCTCATCGTAGTAACGTAATCACCTAGTTAGGGAAGTCAGTATAGTACTGAAATAGTTTTTTTTTTTAATTTATTATTATAAGGACTTTGTCGCTGAGCGACCACATCGTCCCGTTTTGTCTACAATTACTTAATCACTACAATCGAATACAAAATTAAACATAAAATGTATTATATTAACAATAGTTATGTGCAAGGAACACGCGCGACTATAAGTAATCACACCTAAGGAGTCAGAGGAACCATTAACAGCCACGCTATTCCCTACACAGAATCAAGTCTGCTAGCCTGACCAGCATTTTAGGCTCCTTCCATGGGATAAGCCAAAATATTGTTCAAGGTGCCATCGTGAAAATTCCTATCACTACCAAAACATAACCTTCTTACTGCTTCATTCCGGACACATTCCATCAAAATATGTTGGATATCTTCAACTATTCCGCATACGTCGCAATTTGGTGATGGCACTTTTTTCATTAGTAATGAAATAGTTAATAAATGTCGTAGAGACATAGGTATTAATTTGTTGTTTTCAAAAAGCTTCAGCGTCGCTTCCAAAACTTACTAGCCAAGACTTCAAATTGTTTAAAAAAAATTGTATTATTGATATTATGTTGTTGCGTATTATCAATTTAATGCATTCAAAATCATGAATGTAGTTTGAAATCAAATGTATATACACTAGCTGACCAGGCAGACGTTGTTCTGCCCTCTCCGACGACCCTGTGTCCTATAAAAATTCTTAAATTCGTAATAAAAAATATTGAGGGTCACTTATAGAGATAAAAACTATCCTATCCCTCAAGTTGGACCAAACTGAACACAGTGTGCAAAATTTCGTTGAAATCAGTTCAATAGTTTAGGAGTTCATCGCGGACAAACAATATGACACGTAACTTTTATGTATAAAAATATATATGTTCATGAAGGACTGTAAAGGACTAATAACCTTTTCTATTCACAGCTTGCTTCAACTACGACACCAAGTCGAAAGAGAATAAATTCGACGCAAAAGAGATCATGGATCCTGCAACCCGTAAGTACTTATATATACTACTACGTACTTATATATATTCATATAATTAATTAACGAATTAATGATCATTTTACATTTCTTGAATTAATGCTATTCTCACCACGCTGCAGTGAGATTACGGAACGGTACGAGCAGAATCGATATTCTATACTGTGATTAGGATCACCAATTCTGTAATACATATTTAGATTCAACATAGTCATGTTGATTTCGTAAAATAACATAATATGTCGGAGGAATCCTTGTTTTTTTATAGTAAAGGGTGACAAAGGAGCACATAGTCCACCTGATGGTAAGTGGTTGCTGTGACCCATAGACATCTACATCTATCCTCAATAAATAATCAAAATGCAGATGCGTTGTCATCCATGAGAACTAAGATGGAATGTCTGTTTTCTAGTAAAAAGGGTCTGCGATTCTCTACACTCACCATACGAAACACATCAGTGTAAAGCTGCTATTTTACACTGGTATTCTGTGAGAGTGTTGTCCTTCACCGGTCGAGCCGACCCATTCGTACTACAACTGTACACTAATATAGCTGTAGCATGGCTCTACCACGTATAAAGTGTGCGACACCTTGATAATGTGCGACTTTGTCCGACAGTTAACAGGATGAACCATCTACCACTGAGTTTGACATCATGACTAAAAGTTGGTACATTCGCAATGAATATACTATGTCAATGTACATTCTCCTCAGCATTCATAGCAATTTTTATGTTAATTTTCATTCACACACAGACGAACCTCATTTTCACGACACTATTGAAATAGTTTAAAATTTCAAGCACTCAACACTAACAATACTATTCAACCATGTGTCATAGCGTCATAATCATTAAGAGGGCTTTTCTGTCGGGACACAGCTTTGATGGTAAAGTTTATTTTTCAAAACTATTTTCTTTCGTAAGTTGTTTTTATTAATCAATTCATACCATGGTAGAGCCACGATGCAGTTATGTTATGGTTGTAGCACGAATGGACCAGGCTCTCACAGAATGCTAGCGTAAATAGCACCTCAATGATACTGTGTTTCGTACGATAAGTGTAGAGAACAGGAGAACCTATTTACTGGATATTTATTTTATCAATATTTCATGGCTTCCTTACTCCTGTCGTTGCTCTCCATCGGTTCGTGAAGTTCAAATTTAAAAAAAAGAAGTCAAAGACGATGCTCTAGAATTTTACGTGTACTTTATTCAATTTTAAACGATCCAAGTTCGTCTTCTTATCTTAAGGATAACTTACATTTTCTTCATTCGATTGACGGTCGAATACCACGACAATCAAACCGTCTGAGAATAAGGTTTCCACAGCATAGGTCTAATTTTTTCAGGTCCTCTTTTACGATACAAGCTATTCATCTTTGAACACCCTCCCCAATGATATTAAGCATGTATACAGATTACATAATATATGTATGTATGTATTATTGTATGTACATATATGTTATATGTATATATATTTAAATATGTGTTGTGTATGTAATATGTACTATGTATATATTATATTTTAATATATGTACACTTTATTTTTGTATTATGTTTCGCACCTGCCTACAATTGTCTTTGGCACCCAGGATTGACTGACAGAGAATGCCATATGGCATTAAGTGCGCCCTATGTACCCTTTACCTTAAGGTTTTAAATAAAAATAAATTATAATCGGTTCAGCCATTCCGAAATTTGCCCGGAAAGACAGATAAAAAATTTAAAAATGGTTTTTCATGTCTTAATTGCATACAAATAACCCCCCTCAACTCAATAATTTCTAAAGTAACAAAAGTTAAAAAGATAAAGTTACAGCATATATATGTCCCACAGCTGGGCACGGGCCTCCCTTGATTTCAGAGAGGGTTTTAGGGCAACGAAGTGTCCGCCGCGCTGCCCAGTGCGTGTTGGCGAACTTCACATGTCTTTGAAATATATTTTTTTCTTATTTCTCAGACATGCAGGTTTCCTCACGATGTTTTCCTTCACCGCTGAGCACGGGGCAAGTCAGCACTAAAAATTGCAATTAACAATTTCAGTGGTGCCGGCGGGGATCGAACCCAGTTTGCTCGCGTACTGTGAAAGTTACAGCGAGCGCTAACCATCTGAGCTACCATGGCTCTGAAAATAGTAACAAGTCAATCGATATATTTTTTTAAAATACCCACCACGTTTTTAAAACTACCTAAAAAGTATATAACATCTTCTTCTCCTTCTTCTTTTTATTTTTCCATATTCTTACATTGTCATCCGATCCTGAGCCATGTTTAAATTTTCAAGTCTCTAGTGTCGGGAAGTTAGTTTAAAATCAATTACTAAATTCGACCCGAACAGACATCACGAAAGCGAGTTAAAAGAACATGGTAATAAAAGGCTCTTAATTCTATACAACAGACAGACACATAATTTTTATTTATATTTATAGATATCAAGACTATCTATAATTTCCGAATTAGTAGATATATACTTTCGTTACAAAGAAAAGATATCTTTGTTGAAAAACTTTATTCCCATTGTGTTTTTCTTTTACTTATAAGCCAGTGCTTGACCACAATTCCACCTGGTGGTAAGTGGTGATATAGCCTTAGGTGGTAAATCGCACTGTCTTAGCGCAGCAAAAGCCTATTTAGTCTTGCCTTGAAGACGCCCAGATTGTATTCGGACGGAAAGATAGACACCGGCAAATTATTCCACTCCTTTGCTGTATGCATTACAAAAGACGAAGCAAACCGTTTTGTTCTAATACTCGTATGTCGACCGCCGACCGTCAAGTTGTCCGATGGTAGAAATGACAGAGAGCAATTAAAGCGTGTAATTCCTGCACACACTCACCGAAATGCATCCTATAGAATACGGAGAGGCTGGCTGGCTGGCCGACGCTGCCAGGTGGCATGTTGCCGCACCAGCCCATATGTAACAACAGTACTCCATGCATGTGTAAGCGTATATAATATGTTACATCAAAAAAAACCTTTTTGTTACATAGAGATATGCCTTTTTTTACCATGGGGAAATGCCTACACAAGTCACGCCCCCCCCCCCTCCACAGCTTCCAACTCCACCTGCGTAACGGGTACCCCCGATTATAATACGCGGAGGCCATGGGGCCAGGAAAATTGAGCGTTCGGTAGCACCCGCTTTCTCGACCCCGGCGCCGGATCTAGTCTATGGTTCCGCCGCCAACCAAGTTTCGAACCCGTTGGGGGAGGGGGCGATTAACAAACCTAGCCTAACCTAACCTATGTTTTAATTACTCTGCCCGGTACCGGACGGAAGTAACGGACTTTATTCATAAAGCCTGGTCAATTTGTTTATTTCAATAGTTTTTATCACATTGCCTACTCATATTGGGCATTATTCAAATCATCATCATCATCATTACAGCCCTTCACAAATCCACTGCTGAACATAGGCTTCGCTGTCCGTCCTGAGCCACCTGCATCCATCGACTTCCTGCATGTCTTACCAGGTTGTCACTCCATCTAGTGGGGGACGCCATACACTTCGCCTGCCGGTACGAGGTTGCCACTCGAAAACTTTTCTTCCCCATCGGTTGTCGGTTCTACGAGCTATATGGCCGGCCCATTGCCACTTCAGCATACTAATTCTTTGGGATATGTCGGTTACTCTGGTTCTACTGCGGATATCTTCGTTTTTTTTCTATCACGCAGAGAAACGCCTAGCAATTGCCCTTTCCTTAGCTCGCTGAGCGACTTTGAGCTTCCTCATACAGCCAGCAGTGAAGGACCACGTCTCAAATCTATAGGTCATTACTGACAACACGAACTGGTTGAACAATCTAGTTTTGAGGTTCTGAAGTATGTCTAACGAGAAGATATGTCGTAATCTCCCGAACGCTGCCCAGCCGAGTTGAATCCGTCGATTGACCTCTCGGTCGAAGTTGGACTTACCCAGTCGGACTATTTGTCCCAGGTTAACATATTCGTCAACAACATTCGATCTTAGTGCTCCCAAAAACTACCGGCATAGATGTGACATGGACGTTAAACATGATTTTTGTTTTGTCCATGTTCATCTTAAGACCTATCCTTTGGGAGACCCAATCGAGTTTATTGAACATAGTGCTTAGGTCCCTCAGCGATTCTGCCATAATATCGTCGGCAAATTGAAGGTGAGTGATGTACTTGCCATTGACGTTGATATCGTATCCTTTCCAGTTCAGTAGCTTGAAAACGTCTTCCAATACAGCGGTGAAGTTTGGGGGTATTACGTCACCCTGTCTTACACCTCTCTGCAGTTGGATAAGTTTCGTACTCTGGTTCTGTACTCGGATAGCCATCGTAGCCCTACTGTACAAATACTTCAGCACTTCGATATACCGACAGTCCACTTGGCACCGCTGGAGGAATTGCAGCATCGCCCAAATTTCGACGGTACCAAAGGCTTTCTCATAGTCCACATACGCAAGACAAAGTGGCAGATTGTACTCTTCGGTCTTCTGTACAATTTGCCGAAGGGTGTGTATGTGGTCTATGGTGCTAAAGCCTCTTCGGAAACCGGCTTGTTCGAGAGGCTGGAATTCGTCGAGTCTGCATGCGAGACGATTCGTAATGACTCTCGAAAAGCACGTAGACGCGGCTCTGAATGGGGAATCGGTCTGTAGTTCTTAAGCAGTATTAAAGTTGCGTAAGTCCCGCCGCATGCGATTGGATATCTGTCTGTTCAGTTGCCTGTATGCTACCAAATCTACTGAAGACTGCAACTTCATTTCCCGTCCAACAGCCATGAGATTAAAGAGTGTGATCAGAGAGTTTTTGTGTACTTTTGCAGCGGGTCTTGCAAAACTTAGCTCCGACTGCATGGACAGTTTCCACGAGCTTGTCATTCATATCGTCCACTTCATTGCAGTCTTCTTGGCACTGAAAACTGTTTTGTAGCTCGAGCTGAAAGGTTTCGGGACTTTGGATTAGAGCTCGAGTGGGACGGAGCGTTGACTTCATTAGACATGACCTCTCCAGCTTAACGTTTAGGTTCAGTGTGCCTCTA